TTAAATCATTATTCTGGATCTTTATATAACTTTGTTAATCATATTTTTATAAACAATCAGACTAATAATGAAGTTTCACAAGCTGCACATGCTATTTTAAACTACTTGAAACAGCAATCTCCATCTAAGTCTAATGCTTCTCAAAATAATAATAATAATAGGAATAATCGAAATAACAACTCTACACAATGAAATATTGTTGTTTGTCAAATTTGCAATAAAAAAGGTCATATTGCTCGTGATTGCTATCAAAGGAATAGTAATAATAACTCCCCTAATAATAATCAAAATAGTTATAATTATCGAAATAAAGGAAATTTTCAAAATAATAACAACTAAGCAAACAACAAAAACCAAAATAATTATAATAATTACCAAAAACAAAAAAATAATTTCCAATCACAATCACAAGCTTCTACTTCAAATAATTTAACTATTATTCCTGCTTACTATACACTTTCTGCTGAAGATCTACAAGGTCTTATTAAAACTTTAGCACAGTCTTTAAACTCTTAAAGGCATGCTATAAGAGCAGTAGTGCCTGCCAATCAAATTCTTCTTCTCATATATTATTTTCTACTTCTGTATTAAATAATAGTTTATCACATATCTCTAATATATCTAATAAACAATCATATACTTTAAAGGATAATAATAATAATAATCATCAAAATCAGTTGAAATCAGCACTCTTACTAATTTTTACTAAGATAAAATCAACATTAAAAGAAGCTGTTGATATAGTTTATTGCAATGCCAGTATTGATAATATTCTATTTTATTTAATTTTGGATACTGGATCTCTTACAAATGTAATGTCTAAGGATTTTGCTAACAAACTTAATTGATTTATTGAAAAACCTTCTAATATATATTTTTCTAAAATTAATAATGGAAAAAAATGATCATTAGAAGTTATTAACAATATACTTTTACAAATATCTGACACTATTATTTTTATTAATATGGAAATAAATGATGCCCAAGGTTATGCTATAATTGCTGAAGTTGATTGGCTTAACAAAGTTCAGGGCATAATTGATTTGAAAAAAGGACAATTTCAATTTACTTAGGAAAACAAATCTTATATTTTATCTATTACTTGCTGAGAAAAGCCACAATATAATAATGATGAGCCTATTTCTATCAATAACTTTAATAAGTCTAAGGACTTAATAAATCAAAGTTCATTCTCTAAAACTAATGCTGATGAAATTAGTAAGGATAAATATGAATTATTTAATGATGAAAAAAAGAAATCTAAAGGATTCTTAGTTATAGGAAATTTCAATGCAAAACCTATACTTGAAATTAATAATACTCAAGTTAAATATAAAAATAAATTTTTTAATAGTTATAAATTTTATTTACAACAAACAAATGATTCTCCAAAAAGGAAATATTATTGTGCTTAGTTACAAAAAAATTGTTCTAAATGTTTACAAATAAAAGAAACAATAAATTGCTTTGTAAACAAGAATGACTTGAAGGAAACTAATTTTCTTCTATGGATAATTCACAGTTACAACAATTCTTAGCTGATAATGATCACATGTTTTCTAAAAAAATAAATGATTTAGATAAAATAATTATTGATTAACATCAAATTATTACTGAAAATATACCACCTATTCATCAAGTGGCCTACTGTATGTCTTCAGCTGAACATGAATTTATTCAACAGAAACTTCATTCAATGCTTAAAAATAGACTTATATCTTCTTTTAAAAGTCCATAGTTTTCTTCTGTTGTTTTAGTAAAAAAGAAAAATAGTAAATTAAGGCTCTATATTGATTACAGAAAACTTAATAAAGTTACTAAACATGATGTTTATCCTTTATCATGAATTGATAAAATTTTGGATACTTTTAAGAGTGCTAAATGGTTTTTTACTTTGGACTTGGCTAGTAGATACTGTTAAGTTAAAATGAAACCTAAAAACTGTGAAAAAACTGCCTTTATTACCAAATATGAACTATTTAAATTTAATGTTATGCCCTTTGGTCTAACCAATACACCTGCTACTTTTCAACAAGTAATGGATAAAATCTTTTCTGATTTTAAAATAAATTTATTTTAGTATATCTTGATAATATTGTAATAGAATTTATTTTTTTTCTATATTAATATATATTTATTTTTAGCTCTATATTATATTTTATAATTTTTCTAATATTTTTACATAGTTTATAGATTATTTTATTAGTTTTAATCACCTATTTAATAGGTTAATATTTATTTTATTAGTAGATTTTTTATAGTATTTTATTATAACTAATAGTTGTTAGAATATCTAAAAATACAGTTGTTTAGTATTACAAAGGCCTTGACCAAAGGCCCTAGGTCATGCCCCAGATGCTCCAGGTGCCTCAGGACACTCTGAAATGATGGAACAATTAATTTAATTATAGTTAATTAATATTTATTAATTATAATGCAATTTTTACTATAGTGTTACTTTATAGTTTCTATGTACTACTATAATTATTTTTAGTTGTGCTTAGGAAAACACCTGTAAGGAGACTTCTGAATGCTAAATAAGCATTGAAAGTTTTGTAGATGAACATATGGACTACATAATAATATTTGTTTTATTTTTAGTTAATATTTAAGTTATTGTACAAATAGAGCACCAAGTATTGATAAAAATAGAAAGATGCAGGATTGGTTTATTATTTGTACACAAGCATTATTGGTAAAATGCACATGAAATTTCTTAATTTTTGCTACATTTTGGACATCCACATGGTTCAGAATGATGCTACAACACATGGTAGTTCTAAAAACAATCAATTATTAGATTAAAAGCTATAAAAAGAATAGCTTTTTGTTTTTCTAAAAGGCAGTATCTTATATATAAAAGTTCTTTTATATACAAATTATTCTTTAATAAAATATTATTTTTTTTTATGATTATTCATAAAACTATTCTTTATTCTATTCCTTTATCTTATTGTTTCTATAAATTATCTTTCTTTATTTGATTTTCTTTCTTTTTTTTATAATAATATAAAGTGAATAGCTAATTTTCTTAATTAGTTATTTGACAAATACTAACTTTATATTATTGAATATTTTATTTTTTTTTCTTGTAATAACATAAAATAATAACTGTATTTGTGAATAGTACTTTGGCAGATACTAGTTTTATGTTATTGGAATTTAAAAAGCCATATATAATTTAAAACAATCTGATTATTTATTACTAATCATCTCTTCTAATGTTTTAGGATACTTCTAAGTCTAATACAGATAATCCTTATATAGATTAAACTATTTGTTAAGCCCAACTAATACAAAAAAGACAATAGGTCAAATCTTCTCTACAACTAGTCTATCATAAAGCTCCTTATAGTATCTAGAAAGCTATTGAATTTAAATTCTATTTTTAAATATTTAGTTCTTATTTTTAGTTATTTTATTTTTCTTTAAATAAAAAATCTTCTACTTAACACTTATCACTTTAAAATTTGCTACAACTTGATAGTTTTTAGTAAATTTTATTACAATATAAATAAATTTGTATTGTTTTTAAAACAAAAACTTGTAAAGAAAAAGTTTAATTAGAAGTTTCAAAACTATTAGTTTAGTAAAATGTTGAGAAAAATTGAATTGTTAATATTCAATATATTCTATTTAATTTTATATTATTTATATAGTTTAAAATACTTTTTTAAAAAAAATAAAACTACACTTAATAAAATAAAAAGAAATAAATAAAAAACTTTATTAAAGTTGTAAGACTTTGTTATTAGAAATATCTTATTCTCTCTTTTATTTAAAAAAATTAACATAGTAATAATGTTTTAAAAACTAATAGAATAAAGTTACTACTATACTAACTTTTTTAAAAAAAAATAAGAAAATAAGACCTTTTTGGTAATAAAGTCTTACAACTCTAATAAACCTTCCTATATTCTTTTTTTATTTTATTAAATGCAATTTTATTTTTTTAAAAAAATACTTTAAACTGTATAAATAATGTAAATTAAATAGAAAATGTTAGCCAATCATACAAAAGTTCTTCTATGAATGTACGTACAAGATAACTTTTGTATGTACATACGTATATAGAAGAAATTCTAATCTTTCCCAGTATCGCCACCAAAAAAATCACGCTCACGTGACAACGATAAAAATTCTAATTCGTTAATATTAGGGTTAGCGTTATATTATAATTAGATAATAGTGAGAATATATTAGTAAAATTCTTAAGGAAATTTTTTTGTTAGTGCACTAAAGGCGGTTTCCTATGTAAATTTTCGAGTTATGGGCGATTTTTATTAAAACGAACGGTTGTTTTGATTTTTCCAGATCGTGCAACGTTACACTTGATCTTGAAATGTTACACCTGATCTTGTAATATCATTGGTTTGCAACAAGAAAATATCACGTGAGCGTGATTTTTTTGGTGGCGATACTGGGGTAGTCAGAAATCTATGCCATAACCCGTGACCCGCACTTAGAGGGCTGCGTTAGTATAAACTAGGTTTTTTTTATTACGTTGCACTAAATTTCGATTTCCCATTCTAAATTTGTTGCTGATCATCATGTGACCCGAAAAACCGGTGGATTAGCATGATTTCACGTTACACAATATCTTGTCTCCATGACTGCTTTGTTATCAACAAAGTTTCGATTTTGGCCAATCAACGGTGTAACGTGACAATCAAAACAACAATCTTTTTTTTTGTAAAGTCACATTTATCTCTAAGAATTCACCTTTTGCGTAGTAACAAAATATAATGCTGCCCACTAACCCTACCGCAAACCCTAACCGAGATGTCACATTTTAAATGGAAGGTGACATGTAAATTGGTACGAATAATCCCAGCCAATAAAAACTTTGGGGGGAAATTAGTAAATGCCGATCAAACATATGAACGTGATGATCACTTGAGGTGATGTTTAACAAAACTTATAAATTTCATTTTTAAAATTAAATACAATAGCGTACGGTTAACATTTATTACGTTTCTTGTCGTTTGAACGTTATCATAATGGACGTTGAACATGGAGCAACAGTTTTTTTGTACGAAATAGAAGATGGAAATGAATGGATTGAAAAAGAAATTCGCGTTATTGGAACGTAAGTAGTTTACGAGATATGCGAAAAAGGATTTAATTTGTTAAACATAGAATTTCTGCATAAGTTTTAATTTTTTAGGCTAAAATATATCCAGCTTAGTACTGAAACCGCGATCCTTGAACAATACTTAAACCATTCTAAACATCGTCTCATTGTAGACACACGATTGATTGAGAATATCGGTCAATATTGTAGTGATGATATGATTGAATTGTTCGGAAAATTAACATGGGATGTATGTTTCGATCTCATTCTGAATGAACTGTCATTTGCGGACTTGATTGTCTCACTTTACTGCTATGATTTATTTAGGCTACACCTGGTCCAGGGATAGTTTCAAGAAATAGTCAACTACCGCCAGAATTTCGTGTCAATACTTCGCGACAACGGGTTCCAATGATTAGAGCACATGTTATACGTGACGTTCAAGGAATAAATATGACTCTGTATCAAGAAATAACCAAATTACGAAGACGATTTAACTCGAAATTTAATGATCTGATGGAAAGCGAAGAATTGAAAGCTGCTCAAAGCAGGAAAGACCGTCTCAAATAAGGAAATATGTGTTACATAATGTTTGTTTTTTTAGCCAATGGAAATGGCGAATTTTAATAATAAGCGAATAATTCAATATTTTATTAACGTTGGGATAAAACTATGTGCCTCTATCTGAGCCAATTGTGATATTTTCTTGCTTCAATCCCAAATATTTAAATTGTCGTTATTATGTCGTAAATAGAGACGGACGAGGTGATAATGTAATACTTATTTTGATCCCAGTACTTATCGTTATACATATTATTACTAATTACTATACATGACGAATAATTATTACTTATCACGTTTTGTAAATGTAATTTGGAAACTCTGATCTGTTGCGATTAAAGCTGTTAATGGAGTACTCCATAATATAATAAAACATATAACCCGTTTTTGGAGTGCTCCGGAGTGGGTTATATGTTTTTATTATTGACTGGAGAACTCCATTAACAGCGATTCTGCTTTTTATTTATTATTACCAGTAAAAATAAAATTCAAGCAAAAATATCTCAACAGCCACCTAATTAATCTTGATAACTATTTTTTTACAGGTTTGTAGAATTCAAATAAAAAAAATTTCATCAAGATTGATTAGATGGTCATTGAGACATCTTTGCTCAAAGTTAGAGAAAAATCAAAACTTCTATCAAAATAGAACCTGCACCGAATTATTTTTAAAACTTTGAGCAAATATATCTTGACGACCATTTGGTCAATATTGATGAAATTTTATATTTTTATTTTTTTTTTTTGAACTCTACAGATTCGTAGAATTCAAATTATCAAAATTGATCAAGTAGTTGTCAAAATAGAAGTTGCATTGAATTATTTTTAAAACTTGATGAAATTTTTTTATTTGAACTCTATAGGTTCGTAGAATCCAAATAAAATAAAAAAATTGATCGTGATTATCAAGATATTTTTTCATTCAAAGTTGAAGAAAAATCAAAATAGGAGTTGAATTATTTTTAAAACTTTGAAAGAAGATATATTGACAACTGTCTTATTAATCTTGATGAAATTTTTTTTATTTGAATTCTGCGAACCTTTTAAATTCAAATAAAAACATTTTCATCAAAATTGATCAAGTACTGAAGTAAGCAAACTTCATTATTTTTGATTTATAAAAAAAACCTACTTATTGATACTATCCCATATGATTTGACCCTTCTAACCCTAATAAAAAGTATGAATCAAAAAGAATAGACCCCGTGAATCAAGATACCTTAATATTAAAATTTTGTACGCTAAAACGAACGTTAATTGCTTCGTAAATTTTAAATCATTTAACGTGGACAAGCCAAAAAAAGGCATTGGACATCAAACGTGTACAGATTGGTTTTGGTTATTTGGCTTAAATTTTTATCTCTGTCGTTGCTGATTAAAAAAATAAACCAATAAAAAACGAATTTCTATCACGCTATTTGTTCGTCATATTTGCTAATCCTGTAATCTTTATTACTATCCACGCCAAAAGGTCACATTCAAATTGTGCAACACTGGGCTAGGGTACTCAAACTTTGTTTTATTACGTAATATCGATAATTAGTATAACAAACCGTAAAAACTGGCTAGTTTCATATAAGGAGAATAATGGAGATTTTCTAAAATTATTACGCATCAGTCATAAATCTAGTAATTTGATCGAACTTGCTCCCTATGCGGAACAGGTTGTCATGTGATAACAATATGACTATTATTCGACGAGTAGAACATAAGAATTGAAGATTTATCCTTGTAATCAAAGATCAAATCATTTCGTTGTTTTCACATATTATTCTCTCCCATTCTTTAATGTCCATAACATCATTCCGGTAGATATTATTTAAAATGTCACTTCAACAATATGATATTGCTGTCAGTGCATCTAGTATCATTTTAGATGTATTTTTTCGGGAAATAAAACCTCGCGGATCTCATAAAGTCCCCAAAGATGGTCCCGTAATATTCGTTGCAGCTCCTCACGCAAATCAGGTAAAATTAAAGCTTCTTAGCAAAAGGATAAACAAAAGAGCAGGTTCAGGGCGAACTGCTTAGAAAAGAGGCAAATGTCATCTAAACATAAGCTTGTAGGCACAGCAATCGATAAAATTATAGAAATAATTAAGTTGGTGTTTACATGAATGCACTAATTTCAAGAATTTGTGTAAATGAAGACAAGGCCTACCCTTTTGACAAAATTAGATGTTTTTAACAGATTGAATTTCCTGTTTATTGATACACTTTTATTGTACAGTTCGTAGATCCTTTAATTCTGATGAGACATTGCCAGCGGCGTGTTTCATTCTTAATTGCTGAAAAGTCTATGCAGCGAAAGTACATTGGCACTATTGCACGTTACCTCGATGCAAGTAAGTTATATTAAAATTTAATAAAACAATCATTATTTCCTACCTTGTGGAAATGAGCTATAATGCTTATTAAATTTATCATAACCCGAATTAGTTCCTGTTGTTCGACCTCAAGATTTGGCTATGCCTGGTATAGGTCGAATTCAGCTGCTCAATCGTAAAACAGATCCAACGCGTATAACTGGCATTGGAACTGAATTTACTAAACAATTCAAAGTTGGCTGGCAGATTGGTCTCCCCGGAGACCGTGGGTCTTCAGAGATAGTTCAGATAATATCAGATACAGAATTGATAGTTAAACGAGAGTTCAAAGACTTGAAGTCTCTGGAAATGCTTACTCATCCAGAAGGTACTCCCTTCAAATGCATACCTCATGTTGACCAAACATCTGTGTACAATGTTGTATTCGAAAGGTTGAATTCTGGACAATGTATTGGTATTTTTCCTGAGGGTGGAAGCCACGATCGAACAGAAATATTACCACTTAAAGGTAAAATTGGATTAAATATAGTATAGGTGACATCTATTTTAATCAATTGATTATTTATTAAGGTGTCACCCATACTATATTTTATCCGTAAAATTTTGTGGATATTTAATTATAATTTGATATAAAATTGATCATACATTAATCATTTATAGCTGGGGTTACTATAATGGCTCTTGGTGCAATTGCCGCTAATCCCAATTTAAATCTCAAAATAATGCCCTGTGGTAACTTGAAGTCTATTTAAATATTAAGTGTAATATTTCTCTCTAGATCAAATAACGTATCTGTACTTATTTATTGTGCCGGATGAAGGGTTGAATTATTTTCATGCACATTCCTTCCGTTCTCGTGCAGTTGTCGAATTTGGTGCGCCCATTTCTATCAATCCAGAATTGGTGGAGAAATATAGACAAGGAGGTTCATCAAAACGTGAGGCTTGCTCAAAATTACTGGAGACCATTTATAACGGGTTGAGAGCTGTTACCGTGAATACACCAGACTATGATACATTGATGGTGTGTGTCGTAACGTATATCGGCATTTTTTACAAAAAAAAAAAAAATAGTAATAGTAATAATAAACAAGTAAAGAAAAAAAAAGAATACATAAATATTTTTGTGTTTAATTGGCCTTTAGTTTATTCAAGCTGGACGTCGCCTGTATAAGCCAGCTCACCGCAAGTTACAAATTTCTCAAATTGTAGAATTGAATCGGAGATTCATCGCTGGTTATGAACATTTTAAAGATGAACCCAGGGTACAAGATATACGAAAAAGAATAATGGCGTATAACCAATTATTAAAATATTATGGATTAAAGGACCACCAAGTAAATAAATCTGCCATTGGAGGTCCTAGAGCTGCTGGATTATTGCTATATAGGATAATACTACTAACTACTTGGAGTATTTTGGGTTTACCGGGGTAAGAAATTGTATTTTATATATTTTATATTTATTTCATATTATAAATATCTTTTTATTTATCTGTTTATAATTTATAGATTTATTTTAAATCTTCCTCTTGTAATAATTGCTCGTAGAGTTAGTAAAAGAAAGGCCGAAGGTTTGATTTATTTTCGGTAATTTAGTGTTATTGTTATATGACCACGATAGGTAACTCATCTTAATATTTATGGCAACAGATGCTGTTCGCGGTTCATCTGTTAAAATAGCAGGTCGTGATGTTCTTGCAACGTGGAAACTTCTTGTCGCACTGGTTGTCACACCTCTTCTTTATAGCTTTTATACATTTATCGTTGTTCTTGTGTCATTTAGAAAAAGATGGATATTAAAGTGGAAAGTATTTGCTCCTATGGTAACGTTTTGTACGTTGGTAACAGGAAGTTATGTAACTATCCGATTTGTAGAGAGTGGACTTGATATATACAAGTAAGTATTTATTCCTTTAATGGTTGTCATTATTTATTTAATGAATTTGGATTTATGATAATTCCATTTAATAGATCAATCCGTCCATTGTTTTTGTCATTACTTCCGTGGACAAGACCATCTATTGAGAATTTGTGTGCAGTTCGTGAGCAATTGTCCAATAATCTTACTGACTTAATTAACGAATTAGCACCGAAAATTTACCCGGATTTCGATGTTGACCGAATAATTGAAGCGGCTGAACGTTCAGCAATGGCTCCAACCAAAAGTTTATTCCAATCTCCAATTGATTGGATTGATGATAAAGTATTCAACTGGGAACGCCTTGCAGGAGATACGTCTGAATTGGATGATGTGTTTTTCTTTTTTGAAAAGAACAATGGTAGCGCATCAGGGCGTAGTAGAACAAGTAGTTGGGGAAGTGTATCGGGATCAAGACCAGTTAGCAGAGCGAATTCGTTCGGATCTGTTGGATCTTCAGGTGAAGGATTTCGAGTTGAAGCAATGACAGGACTACCAAAGGATCAACCGTTTTCCACTGTCACCAGGCGAATAATGACATCAAGGTCGAAAAACAAAGAAAATGAGGATGATTCAGGATATCAAGGAGATCAGGAGGATAGGTGATTGGCTACTATGATTATGTGAATTCTCATATGGGTTAAACTTAAATTGTAAGCATTTTATTGAATAGAGAAAATAAGTATTAAATTTTATTTCATATTGCCAATTGATAATTATCTGCTAAGACAGTATAGTAAGTTATTTTAAACGAATTGATTTC